TCAGCTCCCAGAATTCCCCAGCCAGCTGTGCAGTCCACACGTCTTAAACGTGCCAAGGTTGAGAAACACTGGGCTAGAGCCCTGCCCTGGAGTCGGACACATCTGTGGAGCTGGGGACCCTGGCCTGGTCCTAAGAGGGACGGCCACTGGCTGCCCCTTCCTTCTCACCGTTTCATTCCTCTGCTAAACGCTGCCCACTCCCCGGGAGCCACGGCGCGTGGGACAGCCGTTCCACCGTGCTTCTCACCCAGGAGGGCCTGTTCGCTCACACCCACCCCTCTTCCCCCTGGGGGAACGATTAGGGCATCCGCACCAAGCGTCCCTGCAGGGTGCCTTTAACCACCCTCTTAAAACTGAGTTATTATTTTTAAACATTCTGTTTGAGAAACGGGCAGCAGAAATCTGACCCGGGGCCAGAGGTTGCCGGTGTTCTGCTCCAAACTGCAGCACCACAAGAACTACACATGACCGTGAGACAAAAGCCTTTTATGGGTGGTCTGTGGTGACTCGTGAGCCCTCCAAGGTGGTGCGGACCTCCAACCAGCCTCTGCTGCTGCTCTTCTGAAACAACCGGGACGACTTGTTTATCTTGCAGAGGAGAAATTGGCCAAGAGCTCCCCCGTGGCTCACCTTGCTGGTGATGTCAGTGACCTTCGCTGCAGCAGCAGGCCAGGCCAGGCCATCTTGGCTTGTGGAAACCAGAAGATGCTTGCCCCAGAGGAAGCCAAGGTGCAGAAACCAGCCGTTTCACCTGGGAAGATGGTGAACTGCAGCACGTCCTTTGATGCAGAGACTGGAGGGAGATTGCAGGCAGTTTCGTTCCCCACCTGAAACTCCAGATGATTCTGCAGATGTGGGAGCGTGTTACGGGTGCAGGTGGACCTGGCCTGCCTGAGTCTGCACTTGGGAAACTCTGCTCTAGCAAAGCAAGGCTCCAAGTGGATCTCCTCCGTAGGCGCCTGGGAGAAACCAGGATGCCCTTCATGAAGTCATCAGGCCAACGACCTCAGAAGTGACGGACATCAGTGAGATGGTTTGGGTTATTGTGTGATGACATCATGGGGCTCATCATGCCACTTGTCCCCCTTGCCCTCTCTGCCAACACCCTTGACTTCCATCTGCCCCTGTGGACTGTCCAGAAAGGCCCGTCAGTCGTGTCCGCTGCAAGGACAGCTTCTCCGCCACCTTCCGAGACGAGACGCAAAACTGCTGTTGCTGCGTGCTCAGAGCTGGCCTTGGAGCTGGGCTTGTTCCGTGGGGCCCTGCGCTGCCCTTGGGGCCAAGGGGAAAAACTGGCCCTCACTTCCCGTTCTCCAGCAACAGGTCTGACTTCTGTGGCTCTGCCAGGAGAGTGCGACTGCCATGATCCTTCAGGAATCGGGCAGAAATGCACAAAGTCCGTAGGGCACGGTCCAGAAAGTCAAGATGGGGGCCAAAGCGCTGCAACCGAGGTTCTGCCTGGGTTTTATCTGTGAGTCAAAGTCACATATCAAGTCAAAGCTGAAATGGCCACCCACCCTTCTTGGAAAGCAGGTGGCCCAGAAAGAGTGATGAAATCTGAAGAAGGACGGGGGGCCTTCCTGAGGCATTCAGGATGTTGACCAAGGCTGGACGTGTTTCTCCTGTTTTCTTCTGTCCTGGGAAACTGCAGAGGCCTCCTTGAGTTCTTACTCCTTGCACTGCTTTTATTAATAGAGGGGACACACGAGGCAAGTCTACTCTGCCTCCTTGAAGTTCTTACCGTGAGGGTGGAGTGGCACCCTCTTTTGTAAGGAAAAGAGGGAGGAGGACATCAAAGAGAGGAAGCGTGCAGGAAGCGCCTGTGAGTTGCCAGATTCACCTACCACTCAAGCCACAGAGACTGAACAGAAGGAGAACTTCTATTTCTGCTGCACCAGTGGAACGCCGGCCTTCCTTTGCTCTGCTGGCATCCCACAAGGTTGCTGCTGGAGCCAGAAGTTTGGCAGGCTGTGGCTGAGTTCACACCGCACACTTAACTAGGTCAAGGAAGGACTACCAACTGCACTTGTGCTGCAGGATCAGCTTGGCAAGGGTTAATCTTGGTTAGAGGTGGTGGTTTTGGGTTTTTTTTGCAGCTTACATAAACGCAAGCAAGGCCTGTTTGGTGAGTTCATCGTTCAGAGTATTGTGAGAATGAAGAAAATGAATTAATTGGAGGGAACCAGGTTAAACAGGCCCTGAGAATCTCCACCCATTCAGTCGGTGACCCAGCTGCCCCCAGAAAAAGGCTGAACAATGTTAGTTCTGGTCAGGACTTGGATGGGAGACCATTAGGAGATCCCAGAGCTCTAGGCCCAGCTGGGAAGTTGAAAAAAAGAGAACTCTCTCAGAGGAAGGGAATAGCACCTCCCTTCCGTATTATTGCAAAGGAAACGATCTGGCCCCTGCCCATGAGGGTCACCAGGACTCACGCTGACTTGAAGGGGGGCTGGCACGTCATCCTGTCCTTGGAAAAAAGGGAGGATGTTGAGACACAGAGTATCGAGATGCTCCTTTGAACAGAATTTGGCTGCCCAGGCCCAGAGCAGCTGGAATGAACCATCGGGAGATGCAAGCTTGGGGCAGCAGATAGGGTAGCCGGATGTCCAGCCAAACCCTAGTTGGAGCAAGCAAGACTACTTCCGGTTTTCTGTTCTGTTTTAGCCTCCCCTGGCCAGCAGCGATACTGGTAGGCTCTCCAGCTCTGGAGGCTGGAGAAGAGGCTGGGCAGCCACCTGGTGAGGATGGCTTAACTGGTTGACCTTTGGGGTCCCTTCCAACTCTACAATGTTATGATTCTCTTTCTCCTTCTCCTTCTCCTTGTATTTGGACAGGGTTTCTATTTAAATCAAAGGCAATAATTTTTACTGCTTGACCTTTGGGGTCCCTTCCAACTCTACAATGTTATGATTCTCCTTCTCCTTCTCCTTCTCCTTCTCCTTCTCCTTCTCCTTCTCCTTCTCCTTCTCCTTCTCCTTCTCCTTCTCCTTCTCCTTCTCCTTCTCCTTCT